ACGGCGAAATGGTTTTACGGCGAAGTGGCGACGGCGAAGAGGCGACGACGAAACGGCGACGGCGACTTGTCCTAGATCGTATATATACAATTTAAACATTTTTGTGTGACGTGTTGGAACCGCGAAAGGTTTACATTTGTAATTATTTGTAAAGATAGCGAACGTGATAACGGACGGTATCGTTTTGGATTTTATACTTATGTAGTTATATAAGACGCTGCATTAAATAAATATTATCATTTAAAACGCAGTCATGACCGAAGAAACTACTGTTTTAGATGAGCTTGTCAAAGCTAAGGAAAGTATTAAACGTAAATATATCGCCCTAAAAACCGGCTCAGATAATGACCAGCAGTTAATGGCTCAAACATTCAAACCGATAATAGATCCTTTAAATACAATTTCTAATACACAATTTACAAACAAAAAAAATAATAAGGATCCTAGAAATATTAATAACCGTGAAACAATAAATGAAGCAAACAATGATACTCGGCCTATTAATGACGACATCAACTACCAACAACAAATTGAAAATTGGTTCCAATCTTCTGATATAGAAAAAATCTATGGACCGAAAAAACTTGTGAGCGGAGATATTACCTTGGGTAACAAAGAAGTCAAATTTTTGCAAAATAAAATACTTGTCGACGATACTACTTATCCAACCACCTCGGATATTTTTCAATTATTATTTTTGAAAAATCCTCTTGTATACACCGATAATGATTTGAAAATATATAAATCGGTATTAATTCAAACATCAGCACAWTTAACCGCAAACGGATYAACTATTAAAAAGACGGGTAATAAATATTCTAATATTATTAGTAAATTATTCCCCTCAGGCGGTGGACTGTCTATGAAATTGCAGAAAAATAACTTAGTGTATTGGGACGATCCAAACGAGTTWGTCGATCGATTACGTTTACTTATCGCGTCCAAAGCAGCCGGTAATACAAGTGTTTCAAACGAAATAATATCAATTTTTGAGAAATTACGTGAGGCTGGACTAATAAAACGAATTTCAAATGTCTAAACGTGAAATCGCTTTAGAACTTCACAAGCCAGCGAGGAAAAATTTCGTTAGACGTGGAGTTAACGTGTATGGAAAAAATGATTTATGGCAAGCTGACTTGGTTGAAATGATTCCATATTCCAATAAAAATAAAAATAACAAGTAAATTTTGACCGTAATAGACTGTTTTACGAAGCGTGCCTGGGCATCGCCATTAAAGTCCAAAACTGGGAAAGAAGTCA